TATTTTGGAAAGCTTTTATGCAAAGTTATATGGGCTGGATCCTATTGACCAGGAACAAGCACACTCCTTTCTGGACAGTGTAAATCTACCTCAAATAGATCCAATAGCACTGCAATCTCTAAATGCCCCTATATCACAAGCGGATATTTGTCTAGCTATTAGATCTTTAGCTAATGGCAAAGCTCCGGGTCCGGACGGGTACACTTACGAATTCTTTAAACTTATGGACAAAACCCTCTCTCCTACTCTACAGCTGGTTTATCAGTCCATTCAGGAGAGTGGGCTTTATCTCCCATCGGCTTCGCAAGCCCATATTAAATTAATAGCTAAAAAAGGCAAAGACCCTTCGGATCCTGGATCATATCGTCCCATTTCCCTCCTTAACCTAGATGCAAAGATCCTTTCTAAAATCATAGCTAACTGTTTGGACATTATTTTACCCTCGCTTATTCACCCTTCTCAAGCGGGTTTTATAAAGGGACGCTCGGCCACGTCAAATATCCGCAAAGTGCTTACAGTTTTGCATCAGGCTAAAAATAATCCACTACAGGATCTAGCGATTGTCTCTCTTGACGCTGAAAAAGCCTTTGATAACGTCAGTTTTTCAATGGCTCAAATTAGTTCTCGCTAAATTTGGCTTTTCCGGTCCATTTACACAGTTAATTCAGGCTATGTATACTGCCCCAATGGCCCAGATAGTAGCAGCGGGAAAAATATCCAACCCTATTCTATTACATAAGGGAACAAGGCAAGGGTGTCCATTATCCCCCCTGCTTTTCAATCTTGCATTGGAACCTCTAGCCCGTTTCTTGTTATTTCAATCACACCTCCATGGTGTTCCAATTGGTCAACAGGATCTTCGCTTAGCTTTATTTGCTGACGCTATATTAATATTCACTTCCAACCCAACTCTAGATTTACCATATATCCAGACGGTTTTCGCAGAATTTCGGTGCTGTTTGGGCCTCCGTATAAATTTTGCGAAAAGTGAGGTTCTTCCCCTATACCATGCTCGACTTCCTGATTGGGCCTGCAACTCCCTCTTTAAAATTAATACTAATCATATTACTTATCTGGGTATTAAAATTGGGAAATTATCCTCGTCCCTTTATTCTGAATTATTCGCCAGTCATTCAAAAAATTTTAGTGGAATTGGAAATGTGGAAAGACCTGCCGTTATCACTCATGGGCAGAGCCCATCTCTTCAAGATGACGAGTTTTCCGAAGCTTTTATACCCTCTCCAAACTATCCCACTCCTGCTCAAACATACGGATATAGTCAAGCTAAACAAGGCGGTTTTCTAGTTTCTTATGGAGGGGGCGCCGCCCGCGCATAGCTATACATAAGTTGTTTCTCCCTAGATGTGAGGGCGGACTGGGCCTCCCCAACATTAGACTTTATAATCTATCTTGCATTTTACGGGTGTGTATAGATTGGCTCTCCCGAGCGTCCGTGTTCTCCAATTACCAACTTGAATTAGACATGGTGAGCCCGTTTGATCTGTCAGCCCTTTCTACATTCTAATTCCAACTCACTACCGGAACATCTTAAACATAATCCACTCATACGGGACACACTCTTTACATGGAGGGAGGTCAGACGTAGACTAGGAGTTTCTCCCTGGCTATCTCGTTTTCTTCCCATTCATCACAATCCTTCCTTCTCTGTCTCTCAACAACATGCAGCTTACGATCTGTGGTACAACCAGGGTCTTAGACTTGTCAGCCAAATTGTATGACTTTGCATCAGGATCTCCCCTTCCGTTCCAACAAATCCTTAGCTCGTTTGAGTTGCCTTCTCATCATTTTTTGTACATTTTACAAGTCAGGAATTTTGTGCAATCCATAGCATGGAATAAACCCACTCGTTTCTGCACGACTGTGATAGAGGTCCTTGTAAGGAATCAGAAATATAACATATCTAATATTTATAGTCAGTTGTCTATGCAATACGCAACACCGCTGGAATCCTCCACATCCATCAAATCGTGGATCCGAGACTTTGACAACGCTTTCACTGCGGAACAACTACTCACAGGCTTTAACATGACCTGTGTGTTCAACACTAACGAATTTTGGCGGGAGCAGCAGTTTAAAATTATGCACCATGCTTATATGCCCTGTCTGTACTCACGTTCAGACTCAACGATCTCTACGTGTCCGCTCTGTGGTTCATATAAGCCGTCACTTCACCACAGGTTCTGGAGTTGCCCATTGGTCTCTACCTTCTGGAACCAACTTTTGAACTTTATGCTCTTCATCACTACTCTCTCCCGTTACCTAGAGACCCACTGCTTCTTCTTTTCGGCAACTTGGATGCTTCCGTGTCTGCTGCTCCACATCAGCACATTGCTATGCTCAGAACTGCCAAACCGTGGCTGTCCACATGTTTGATGGCTGCGAGAAGGTCTATTCTAAAAAAATGGGTTTCCAAATGCCCGCCAACCATCTCGGATCTCAAATTGGAACTTAACTTCATACTTCGTTTGGATCGGCTCAGCATCCATATCTCTCCATCCACATCAGGAGTGGAAAAGTTCAACCGCAAGTGGGGTCAATATGTTTCAAGAATATTTCCTACCTCGGAGATCCAGCTCCCCTCCTAAGGATTTCTAACCTTGTCCTAACTTAGCCTCTAGGCGATTCCTGATGCACTGTGTTTTATTTGTATTAGGGGGCAATTGATTGCTAAATTACCTTCTCTAAGTTTTCCTGGAACTTTACTCAACTATTTTGGCAATCTGCCCCTTTTTCCACCTTGGCTTCTGTTTTTTTTTTTTTTTTTTTATTCTCTCTCTCTTTCATAATCTCGCTTCACTGTTGACTCTCAGTGAAGCGTCCCCGTAATAGCACATTTTCACACATAATGTAGAGCTGTTTCCTATTATATTATCATATTATCTTAATATCCTATCACCCTATTATCTTAGTCTCCTAATTTCTATATTCCGGCTTGTCCTCTTGGTCTTCTGGTCTCTGATCTTTGGTTACACAATTCCTTGTCCTCCTTTTCTCCTTCTTTTCTTTCCTGTCTGTATACTCCTTTCTAGGCTGGTTCCCTCAGCCCCTTGTTCTTTTTTCTTCACTGCTCTATCTCTCGACTTTCTGTTCTCATTTTTCCTCTACTTCTTACCCATATACACGATGACTTTCCTCTTGGTCATTTGACAAATGGTCAACATGGAATACATGTGCGGATCTCTATTTTGCTCATACTTACGAAGGTATATACATGTACCTTTCTAAATCCTGGATACTCTATTCTTAAGCCCTTGCAACCTGATACATCATACGATGCCTCCTTTCCTATAAGTAACTTTCTCCTTCCTAAATTCATCTGATTCCTCTTTGTCTCTCTCTGGGCTTGGGCAATTTGTTTATGAGAATAATTTGTTTATGAAAACAATTGTTATTTCTTGAATTTTTCACCTGCTTTGGCATGTTGCCACGCTATGAATACTGCATAAATTCACCGTTGGTTAATGTGTGTATACAATAAAACCAAATAAAGTTTCTTTAAAAAAAAAAAAAAAAAAGAGTATGTGACCAAATGACAGACTGGCAGCTGGATTTGTTGTTTGGTTAATTTTGTATTTAATATATTATTCATGTAGGTTGTTGCAACCTCATTTGCATTGCCTTTCACTGGAATTCTGACAACTTTCCACCCAGACCTGAATAATTTGCTCTAATAAACTCTGGCAGCAAAACCTTCATCGTCACTAGTGGTTGATTGATGTCCTTTCAAGCCTCAGTGGTGCTCTGTGTTATAAAGATGATGAAAACATAGAGGTGTGCTGGATTTATACCATGAAGTGCAATAGTGAGATTAGACAAATTCCAAACGACAAGGGGCTCACTTAGGGGAAGTGGGTGGAGACATGAAAATTATTTCCTTATACCCCAGAGGCCAACTGTAATACCCCAGAAGAGTCTGAATTTAGAGCCATTTATCCAACTGTCCATCCTGAGCCACTGGTTTATAGCCCAGATACAGTACATACTAAAAATAGAGCCATTTAGTCAACTGTCCAACCAGAGCCTATGGTTTATAGCCCAGATACAGCGTATAAATAGAGCCATATATCCAACTGTCCACGCAGAGCCATTGATTCATAGCCCAGATGCATCCTAAATATAGAGCCATTTATCCAGTTGCCCATCCAAACAATTGGTAGCCCAGATGCAGCCTTAACATAGAGCCATGTATCCAACTGCCCATCCAAACCATTGGTTTATAGCCTAGATACAGCCTAAATGTAGAGCCATTTATGCAACTGTCCATCCAGAGCCATTGGTTTATAGCCCAGTTACATTCTAAAAACAGTCATTTATCCAATTGTAAATGCGGAGCCATTGATTTATAGGCCCACTACAACCTTAGTATAAAACCATTTATCCAACTGTCCATCCAAAACAACTACATTATAACCTTGATAGAACCTCAATACAGAGCTTTATATTCAACTGTACATCCAGAGTCATTGGTTTATATTCCAAATACAACTTAAAATGAATACCATGTATCCACCTGTCCATCCAGAGTTGCTGATTTATAGCCTAAATATAGAGCCATTCAACTCTCCATTTTATAGAACATACCTAGTCTAGAATACATGGTCATTTCCTAAAACTCTGCATGGGTGTTTAATGCCTATTAGCCTTCCCCAATGCAATATCTAGACATCACTGGAGATTTTTTTTACTATCTCTTTGGCTTCTTCATATAGCTTGATGGATATACTCTCCAGTTGCTCCCCAAACCCTGATGGCTAAAGCCAAGTTGTCCAGATCTTGCATTAATGATGGCTACTAAGCCTTGGACATTTGTACAAGCCATATTTTCAAAGATCCTTTGCCTAACACCTTCCTGTCCATGTCCATATATGTCTAGCTTTTCCAGCAGTGTAGGGGTGCCATACATGAAAAGTTGTTTCTTAATGTTGTGTTCCTGAATAATGAAATATGATCGATGTTCTGGGGGTCTCTTCTGATTGCAGATGGTGCAGTAAGTTTCAGGTGATTGATCTAGTCAGTGAAGGCTTTTCGGAAGAGGCCTTAGACAATGAGCAGCCCAGCATTGTGGTCAGTGACTGGTAAGTCATCATCAGAATCCCACATTCATTAGACTGTGTAAGACCTAAAGCTCTGCATCCCAAAGCTCATGCTCCCTGCAGATTGAAGAGTGCTAGATCTGACTAATCGGGGGGGAAGGGGGGGGGGTGTCGGACTTCTGCAGAAAGAACACTGCTTCAATGAAGAGGGTCCCTCTTTGCAGCAAGCCAGCAGGAGATAGGTTGTAGCTGCTTTTTAAAGAGAGAAATAAGTATTTGATCCCCTTCACAAAACATGATTTAGTACTTGGTGGCAAATTCCTTGTTGGCAATCAGAGGTCAGACGTTTCCTGTAGTTGGCCACCAGGTTTGCACACATCTGAGGAGGGATTTTGGCCCACTCCTCTTGGCAGATCCTGTCCAAGTCATTAAGGTTTGGTAGCTGACGTTTGGCAACTCGAACTTTCAGCTCCCTCCACAGATTTTCAATTGTATTACGGTCTGGAGACTGGCTAGGCCACTCCAGGACCTTAATGTGCTTCTTCTTGAGCCACTCCTTTGTTACCTTGGCCGTGTGTTTTGGGTCATTATCATGCTGGAACACCCATCCACGACCCATTTTCAATGCCCCGTCAGAGCTGATAGCAGGACAGTCAGTCCACAGGCTGAACCACCCCCATGTCACCATCATCAATGCACTCTATTAAGGAGACCTTTTCCTATTGTGCCAGTAGTCTTGCAGTCCAGAGAAGAGTTGCCCAGTGCCAACAATTATTTTTGCCAGCTTAGCCACTTGTTGCTTTAGATTCACTAGCTACTAGTGCTTTAAAGGAACATTACACCTGCCAATTGCTGCTTCCAGGGGGAGTGTTGTTCTTCTCTTCCCTTATTGCATTGTTCCTCGGAGAACCATATTTCACACTTCTTCTCGCTGTGCACGAACTGGGCCCTATTATGCGCGCATTACAGTCTTCACTGCCTTTTAAAGAACATTGGTTCTTTTGGGGTAAAGAGCTCTTTTTCTAATTCGAAGCCATTTCCTTGCCATCAGGTCCTGAGGGCCCAAAGTGAGCTAGTCCACCAGTTTTGATAGTTCTCTCTGCTCACTGGGGACAGTAAAGCCACCTCAGGTTGAAGGTATTTGGTTAGTTCCTGAAAAGCAGGCCTGCTAACACTAACTTGGATTTTGTGATAAGTGTTGTTTCCTTTCTCTGCTTAAAGTTGAACATAAGTAGTAATTGACTCTGCACATGCCAATTCTGTTTATGTTGTGTAACCAAGCTACATTGAAGTTGCTATAAATCTTTTAGCAGGTCATCCCAATCAGTGTGTGATTCTATTTTTTTGGGGGGGGATTTATCTGGTTAAAAGTATACTGTGGTGTCAGCAGGGGTTTGACTTTCAGAGAGGGGTCCATACAGAGTCACAGGGAGCCCGAAAATCAGTCTACTTTTTGGGGGGGGATTTATCCGGTTAAAAGTATACTGTGGTGTCAGCAGGGGTTTGACTTTCAGAGAGGGGTCCATACAGAGTCACAGGGAGTCCGAAAATCATCCATCTCCTAGGGGGTAGTGATACATGAGGGTTTCTGATTTTCCTCTGAAGGGAGTGAATGGCTTTAGCTTTGGGGACAGAGAGACTTCTTGTAACGGGTTACCTTCTCTACAATATATCATACAGCTGTCTATGTGAATTTACAGGTACTGTGGCCGGACAGATGCGGGCTGTCTATATGATCTCTGTGTAGAGCTTCTCTCTGAAACCCGTGATGTGATCACTGAACACAAGAGTGACACCATCGCAGTTCCACAGTCTGCTGATAGCACCTGGAACGAGGTGAGTATGATGTGAGATACCATGGTAAGCAGTACTGATTCCTCAGCATTAAACTATCGTTTTACATTTTTATCTAACTCTCCTCTCCTGGAATACTCTGCACTTGCTGGAGGACTCTGCTCCTTCCTCTGTCCAGCTCTCCTCTCCTGAAATACTCTGCACTGCCGGAGGACTCTGCTACTGCCGGAGGACTCTGCTCCTTCCTCTCCTGAAATACTCTGTACTGCTGGAGGATTCTGATCCTTCCTCTAGAACTCTCCTTTCCTGAAATACTTTGTACTGCTGGATGAATTTGCTCCTTTTAACTCTCCTTTCCTGAAAAACTCTGCACTGCTGAATGACTCTGCTCCTTCCTCTGATCTCTCCTCTCCTGAAATACTCTGCTCCTTCCTCTGTCCAGTTCTCCTCTCCTGAAATTCTATGCTCCTTACTCTGTCCATCTCTCCTCTACTGAAATACTCTGCACTGTTGATGGACTCTGCTCCTTCCTCTATAACGCTCCTCTCCTGAAATACTCTGCTCCTTCCTCTGACTCTGCTCCTTAGTCTGTCCATCTCTCCTTTCCTGAAATACTCTGTTCCTTCCTTTGTCCTTCTCTCCTCTTCTGAAATACTCTGCACTGCTGGAGGACTCTGCTCCTTTTAACTCTCCTGTCTCGAAAAACTCTGCACTGCAGGATGACTCTCTTCCTTCCTCTGACTCTCCTGTCCTGAAATACTCTGCTCCTTCCTCTATAGCTCTCCTCCTGGAATACTGTGCAATGCTGAAGGTCTCAGCTCCTTCCTTTTACTCTCCTCTCCTGAAATACTCTGTTTTGCTGGAGGACTCTTCTCCTTCCTCTAACTCCTCTGACTTTCCTCTCCTGAAATACTCTGCACTGCTGGAGGACTCTGCTCCTTCCTCTATAGCTCTCCTCTCCTAAAATACTCTGCACTGCTGGAGGACTCTGCTTCTTACTCTTACTCTCCTCTCCTGAAATACTCTGTTTTGCTGGAGGACTCTTCTCCTTCCTCTAACTCTCTTGAAATACTCTGCGCTGTTGGAGGGGAGGACTCTCCAATATCATTTTCTACAGTTTCACTTGTGTTAATATTAGTTTTTATTGTCTTCTTCTCCTCCCACTGCAGATCACTCACACGTTTTCTGGTTACGGTCCAGGAGTGCGCTTTGTCCAGTTCAAGCATGGCGGTCAGGACTCCGTCTTCTGGAAGGGCTGGTTCGGAGTCCGTGTGACCAACAGCTGCGTCAGAGTTGAAGCTTAAAGACTTATTGCTATGTGACTCTGAATCACTGTCTGTCTGTGCTGCCCCATCTCCACCAATGACATTCAAACTTCCCTCCCTAAAACGAAAAAAAAAAAATTATACATGGAGAGTTAAAGTTGTTCTAGTTTGAAACCCATACTGTAGAGATGTACAGAACCAGACTAATATTATTACTCTTTAGTCCAGTATTGAAGTAATTAAAGTATATCTAATTTAAAGCTGACTTTTAATCTATTTGCCTTCTCTGGTCCTGCCCATCAATAACTTGCTAATGACATTTTTAAATAAAACCTTTCCATTTCCACTGTATACAGCGGGTAAAAAGTATTGAACACATCACCATTTTTCTCAGATATATTTCTAAAGGTGCTATTGGCATGAAATTTTCACCACCTGTCAGTAACAAGCAATGCAATCCATACATACAAAAAAAAAATCAAATAAGTTCAGAAATTAAGTTTTGTGTAATAAAATGGAATGACACAGGAAAAAGTATTGAACACATGAAGAATGGGAGGTGCAAAAACGTATGCAAAGCCAAGATACCAGCTGAAATCTATTGGTAATTAGAAAGCAATCCTGCCCCTTGTCAGTCCAGCTTAATATCAGCTGGTTAAGTCTCAACTAATGGCCTATAAAATGATATCTCATTACCAAGGTGTCGCACAAGAAACATCTCATGATGGGTAAAAAGCAAAGAGCTCTCTCAAGAACTGCACAACATTATTGTTGCAAAACCTACTGATGGCATTGGTTACTTAAGGATTTCCAAACTTCTGAATGTTCCAGTGAGCACTGTTGGGACCATAATCTAGAAGTGGAAAGAACATAATTTCTCCATAAACTGTCCATGATTGGTGTTCCTCGTTCCTTGTGGTGAACATATCATATCAATAGTACCTTTAGAAATATATTTACCTAGAAAAATGGTGATGTGTTCAATACTTATTTTACCCGCTGTACCTTTTTTAGATCCAGCCTACTGACTGTGCCCATTTTTAAACCACACCCTCATTTTAGCCACACCCACACTTTGCACCATTTCATTACAAGTATGACAAAATTGCCACAACAGTGGGAGTGTCTTAAATCAGAACTCCACATTTTCGGAAAAAAAAACAACACTGAGGAAGGGTTTATATAATGGAAGAGACTCTCTTGGTCTCTTCTTTCCTAATTGCTTCTTCCTGTCTGTCAGCAGTATTGTACACTGAGTCATGCATGCGCAGCATCTGCAGAGTAGGTAAGTGATTTCCATGTTCATGCATGTGAGTGACATCATCGCAGCCTGGTCATTCAAGCAGCCGAATAGGGTGAACCTGAAAGGGAGACCAGGTGAAGATGGAAGGTCCGGGACAAGCTGGAGTGCTAACAGTGCAGCATTGGAGGGCTTAGTTTGACAGGTAAGGCTGCCATACTATGCCACTATGCAGTGCGTATATGCACAGTACTGCATAAATCTCATGGGAGCCCATTAGAAATATATATATATATATATATATCAGAGTTTAATTATTTTGTTTATTATAGAGTAGCTTATATAGCGCCAAAGGGTTTGCTCAGTGCTATACATTAGAGTGGGGGACAAGACATGAGACAATACAGTAGCAAAACAATACACGAGGGTAGAGGGCCCTGCTACTTTCGAACTTACAGTCTAGGATTCCACTTGTGTTGCAGATTCAAAAATATCTGTTTGTCTGTCTGTGTCCACACCCCACCAGTGTATAAGGATCAGAAGTATGTAACACACAGAGCGCAGGGATCAGAAATATGTAATGAACAGAACCACTACTATTCCTTTTATACTGACTTTTGAACTTTACAAAGGCAGCAGTTTAGAAATTGGATGAAAGGTTTAGAACTGGGAAACAATTGTGAAAAATAAAAATGCATTTTATATACAACTATATAGATCAGACCAAAATGAGGAGGAAAGAGGGACTTTGTTTCAAATCAGGGACAGTTCCTTAAAATCAAGAACAATTGGCTGCTATGCATATAGCACTAGGATCAGGAGTATGTACCACATGGAGTGCAGGGATCAGGAGTATGTACCACATGGAGTGCAGGGATCAGGAGCAGAGGCGGACTGACAACTCATTGGCCCCCCGGGCAATAGGGGATCATGGGGCCCCTGTGTCCTTGCCCAAACTCAAAAAAGCCTATGAAAAAGGTACCAGGGACATCTCATGGGGCCCCCTACTGACCCCGAGCCCTCGGGCAGTGCCCGAGTTTCCAAATGGTCTGTCCGCCCCTGATCAGGAGTACACAATCCATACAGTGCAGGGACCAGAAGTATGTTACACATGGAGCACAGGGATCAGAAGTATGTTACACATGGAGCGCAGGGATTAGAAGTATGTTACACATGGAGCGCAGGGATCAGAAGTATGTTACACATGGAGCGCAGGGATCAGAAGTATGTTACACATGGAGCGCAGGGATCAGAAGTATGTTACACATGGAGCGCAGGGATCAGAAGTATGTTACACATGGAGCGCATGGATCAGAAGTATGTTACACATGGAGCGCAGGGATCAGAAGTATGTTACACATGGAGCGCAGGGATCAGAAGTATGTTACACATGGAGCGCAGGGATCAGAAGTATGTTACACATGGAGCGCAGGGATCAGAAGTATGTTACACATGGAGCGCAGGGATCAGAAGTATGTTACACATGGAGCGCATGGATCAGAAGTATGTTACACATGGAGCGCAGGGATCAGAAGTATGTTACACATGGAGCGCAGGGATCAGAAGTATGTTACACATGGAGCACAGGGATCAGAAGTATGGAGCACAGGGATCAGAAGTATGTTACACATGGAGCGCATGGATTAGAAATATGTAATGAACAGAGCACAGGAGTCAGAAGTGTGTAATGCAGGGAGAGTAGAGTCCCCCCCAAAACAGGGACGAAGGGGAACATATGTTGGGAGAGTTGAAAGGGTGCTGTACATACTTTCCTAAAAAACCTCTCAAGTAATGTGCTGGCCCTTGGGAGGATTTATGCAAATATCAAAATGGCTTGATGGGTGGATGTCAGTCTGGAGGAGTGGGCATTCCTACATGGGCTGAATTTGCATGCAGACCACCCTCAGTAATGATCATGTGTGATGCTGAGCCCCCATGATTGAAAAAACTGAAATCCAATTAATGAAAGGCTGGTCAGGGACAGCTAGCATGCAAGAAAAGTACTAAATGCTGTGGATGTCCTCAGCCAGGAAATGAGGTGGGTCTTATCCGACTTGCTGCAGCTTCTAATGCACATTGTGTGCTCACAGTGTGCACTGAAATCAGAGCAAGCACTTTCAGTCCAGGAGAGGAGTCGCTACAACTGTGCAGACAGAAGGGAAGGCTGGAGGTCAGATTTTATATATATATATATATATATAATGTGCTGCTCAACATAAATTAGGCAGAGTCTGACAGCATTGCAAACCAATGAATCTGTATAGCTCGGTGTTCAGTGCAGTCATGCTAACATGTTTCACCCATTGAGGGCTGTAGTTTAGAAGTATTTTGGTACTTTATATAAGAGCCAACCCATCAGATTATCACCTACTCTCCTCTCCTTTAGGCGCACCCTGAAAACCCACCTCTTCAGGGAAGCCTACCCCACCCCCTGCTAACTTGCCGACCTCCTCTCCTCTCTTCCTACCACTCCATCCCCCACAGCTATCTCCTCCTGTGCCACCATCCCCTCCCTCCTAGATTGTAAGCTTGAAAGAGCAGGGCCCTCGAACCCCTCATGTTTTGCATTGTATTGCTATTGTTCTGTCACATGTTCTGTCCCCCTTTGTAATGTACAGCGCTGAGCGAACTATTGGCGCTTTATAAATACTGTATAATAATAATAATAATAATAATAAAGAGCAGATCAATTTGAGGACCTTAGCGACTCAGTGCTGCTTTTGTGGAGCCCAGGCTGGGGATGAAACGGGAAGCTTCAATGCTGAATCACAAGGATGACTGAACAGCAGGATTGCCAACTCTGTAATTTTACAGACAATCCATGAAAGTAAAGCTAAATAAACCAGTCTGTGAATGTCCATTCATGTGTCTTTTTGCACTCCAGTGTTTAAAAAAAAAAAAAAAATGTGAGGTTCCGCTTTCCGCATCTACTGACAGCTCCTTGTAAGTTAGTGGACCTAGACAGACATCGCAGGCCCCTTCCCTTGACTCTGATTGGTTATTGGCCACTTTCAGTAGAGTATTGAGCATGTCATTGCCCTGATGCTTGGCACTCGGCACTTGTCAGCAGTACACTGAGCCAGAATTTTGCTGAACAGATGACTGGATTGAAAAGCCAGGTGCAACAGGAGGGGGAGGCGATTGAGTCCAGCAGAAAAGATCCCTTCATATCTATACATGTTGTATTTCTTGTGAGACCAGCAACACTTTTGTTAACACCCCAGTAACATCGGGTGCGACTTGGCATGTGATTTTTATGCCATGCGACCAGGGGCATACTGACAACTCATGGGGCCCCCGGGCAATAGGGGATCATGGGGCCCCTGTGTCCTTGCCCAAACTCAAAAAAGCCTATGGAAATGGTACCAGGGGCATCTCATGGGGCCCCCTACTGACCCCGGGCCCTCGGGCAGTGCCTGAATTTCCAAATGGTCAGTCCGCCCCTGCATGCGACTTGCAAATCGTACGCCAAGTAGCACCCCATTGTCCGCTATTAGAGCGGTCATAACGGTGCGGTTCCGACTTATTTAGAAGAAGAAGAAGGATCGGAGCCGCACCGATTTCTACATTCACTACTTTTGGTGCAATTTGCATAGACATCTGTGTCAGAGGTCTTGCAAATCGCACTTCAAATCAGCAAGTCACCCGAATTTGAAATCGTGCTACTTCACTGTAAGTCGCACGATTTCAAAATTGGCTTTGATGTGACCGGGGTGTAAGGCTCATTCCACCCACGTCCGTTGAGCTGTGTTGATCTAAGGTAGCTCAATGAGACGGCATCCCTCTGCTTGCTCAGCTA